CTAGATATAATGAGTTTTTTTATAACAATATAAATAAGTAGAAAATTTTTGTCAAACTTAATGAATTTTTACTATAAGAATTACTATAAAAAAAGCTAGTCGCATTCAGAATATGTATTTTATTATTAATATTATCAATGCATATACATAGTAATATAATTCCGAAAATAATACTATTAAATACAGTATTTTATAATACTAAATTTTAAGGAAACATTGCACCAACACAATTGGCATTTCTTTTAAGAAATAGCATTCGTTCAAATAAATCTGCACTTAAACAAGTATGCTTTGCTGTCATAAGATTCCCAGCATCACTAAAGAGGCGTTCACTTGGTGTAGATGTGGCTGGGATGCATAAGTATTTTTGTGCTATTTTGCTTAATGTAGGAAAATTTGATTGTTGACCATTCCACCATTTTAAAGGGCATTGAGTATTTGGAATTCTTGGTAATGCAAGATAGGCATAAATTTCATTATTAGTATCTGATTCTTGAATAGATTCATACATTGCGGCTAATAACACATTTTCTTCCTCTTCAAGACTATCATCTATTTGCACTATATTAGTTGGTATTGGTTCTTGTTCTTTAAATGCTTTATATTTGGATATCAAATAGGCTTCAGCCTCAAGTCATTGAGAATAAGTTGCAAATTCCATTTTTTTGGTTCTTGGATCAAGAAGTGTTGCAAGAAGAGCTTCATGAATTGGATATTCCTAATAATAATTTAAAGCATTAAATAATGCGATTTTTACATTTTCAACCATTCTATCACAAATTTGTGGAATATTAATTTTGATTTTTTTAATTTTTGTTTCAGATTCAATATCAAGTACTTCAGGTTCATCTATAAGATCGATCTCTTCTTGAAACTTTTGATCATCATCAAAAGCTGTATTAAATTTGTCAAGATTTATATTAATTTGAGTATCATATGTAATATTAAACAATTTTTTAAGAGATGATATAGCAGAAAATATATATGACATCGTAGTATATTTACTGCCACCAAGCATTTTGGTGGCATTAGCAAAAGGTTGTAAAACTTTTACTAAATCTTCCATCAATTACTATTCATCAGATATTAACATAATTTGCTTAAGACGTCTTGCATCTTTTCTAACTATAGGATCCTTACTATGACTCATTGTTAATTGCATTACTTCAATTGCTGATTTTAATTTTAAAATTCTCACCCATGCCATATATGTCGAATCCCACCTTGTTGCAACATCCATTACAACTTTAAGATATTCATGATTGTTATTAATAGTATCATTCACTATACGATTTAAAGATATTTGTGCCATTGCAAGTTGTTCACTTTGTTTAGGAGATGTAAAAAATTGTATTAATCATTTTGCTCATACAATTAAGACCTTGACTGGTAACAATCCTTTTTCTATGACTAATTGCAGAGTATGTGCACTACATGAAAGACGATTAACATTTTCAATTTCTATAATAGCTTTTTACAAGTTTTTGGCATTATCTGTTGTTACCATAAAACATTTTGTATTAAAGTTCCATTCTTGAATGATAGATTTTAATGCAGATGCAATTACATACTCAATATGTGGATGTTTTATTTCATGAATAGCCAAAGTGATTTCTTGCAGCTCAAAATAAGAATTAATCCATGAACATGTGATTCCAAGATATCCACTATTACTGTGAGCAGTCCAAAGATCCATAGTTAGTCCACAATAACTCATAGAATTCTTGATCTTTTCTTTAAGAGTAACCATTATCCAATTATAAAACATATAGATTCAAGTTTTAATACCTTTATTACAAGGCATTTCATAATATAGATTAATTTTTTTTAGAAGTTTTATAAATGCTGGATTTTCTAAAATAGAAAATGGCTATGAATCGGATATAAGAAATTCAGCTACTATTTCATTGACTTGTTCCTTATATTCAACATTATTTTTAAACTGTTGACGAAACATTTTATCAAATGACAAATAGGAAGTATCTAATATTAATTTGCCGAATTTAGTAACTCCATGAATACTTTGAAGATGATAGCTAAAATTTCCAGTACTTCCATCTGTTTAGATAATATGATTACATGTTAAGCCTTCTTTTGTCAACTCATTATACTGGCCTTTTGATCTATATTTAGTAGGTAAAATCGTATAGTGATCCCATACCCAACTTCTTTTCTTTGAACCTCCTCTTTTTTTAAATTGATTATTGTCCACCACATCCACCGCATTTGTATCATTCACTACATTTGTATTATCCACCATATGTGTATCATTCACCGTATGTGTATCATCCACCGCATGTGTATTATCAACCGCATGTGTATCATTAACCACATGTGTATCATCAATTGCATGTGTAGTGACAACGTTATTAATATTATTAATGGTAAAAATATTATTGTTTGAGCAACTCAGAGAAATTTCGCTTGAGGTTTCGCTAAATAAATAATCTTGATTATCCATTATTACGATATTATGATTTTGAATAAGTTGTATAAAAAAATTTTTTTCGCTCAAGATAAAATACGAATTTATAAGAAAAAATTCTCTAATCAATATTACATATAAAATATGTCATTTATTCATGCCAAAATATTAATGCATCAGATAGTTTAATAAATATTCAAAAAAAATCTCTAATCAAAGTAATATGTTATATATAAAATATATCATTTATTCATGCATCATTATTATTAATTGAAGTATCGGATAGTATCAGATAGTTTAATAGATATCTGACTATCTGCAAATATATTTTTATTATCCGATATGAACAGATATCTAATAGAAAATCTATCAGATTTTTTGAACAGATCCAAGCACTAATAACGGCACTACGTTAGTGCGTTGATAACAAATATCATAATAGAAGACATGAAAACACTTGAACAATAACTATATTTACTTTAATAAAATTTAATAAACCAATGCAAAAAAAGGTGGTTTAGGACAAAAAGTTTTTGACTGAAATAATAAACTTGCTAATTATTTTTTTTTACTATTGAAGTTTTTTATAATTTAAATAAAGCAAGTGTCCTGTACCTAATTCATCTTAATGACAAGCACGTTTGATCAGTTAAAAATACTTTTGCTATAGTTGGCGGTAGAATTAATTTGGCAAATTAATATGGCAACGGCATGTAATGCTGTATTGCTATAATGTTGAAATACAGGTCACTCTCAAGTGTCAATTTCAATGTAATTAGCAAGTGATGTAATAGTGCTCAAGCATAATTATATTTACATAAAATTTTTGTTAAAAATTTGAATATGCAATTTATGACGTAATTGTAATAGTTTAAATTTTACAAAAGTTGCTGAATCAAATAAACATGGTAAAAAAATGTCTCGTCAAAAATGCAATTATTGCGAAGAAGACTGTTGATTCAGTTGATCGATTAAAAAACTTCCAAGAAATATGAGATTTATTGAAAGTTCATGATTCTATTTCAAGTGACATATGCGATTGG